CGCCGCAAGGAATAAAAAAGAGTATGTTGGTGGCCTTACGGACGGGGATAGACGACGACGTGGAATAATCCAGAGTTGCGCGGTTGCCCCGGACGAGAGATACATGACGACGTGTCGAATTATCCAAGTTGCGGCGGTCCGCCCCGAACGAGAGATACATGACAACGAATCGATGTATCCACGCTGCGGCGACGGCCCCGTACGAGAGATATATGACGACGAATCGAAGTATTCACGCTGCGGCTGCGGCCCCGTACGAGAGATATATGACGACGAATCGAGGTATCCACGCTGCGGCGGCGCACCCTAAACATGTCGCTTTCGTTTTCCAGGGGACAACGCAAATGTGCTCGATTGTTCGAAGATCGAACTTAACACCTTACGTGAAAATGGGTCGCGCGACCACATTTTTTTTAGCTCAGTGGCAAACAAGCTCACAATGTCATCCGGGGTGCGGGTTCGAGCCCCGAAGAAGCCTAAGTTTTTTTCCTTTTTTTTTTTTGGAATTCTTGTTTCTTATTGCTTTTTAAACTTCTGGTTTGCAGGACGGTGTGCGAGTTCTGCAATCGCACTGATTCCATCTGTTTCGTGGTGTGTGCGGCTGCGGCTGCGGTGGTGGCCGCGTGAGAGTGAGTGAGAGAGCGCCATGCACCGCCCGCACACACACACTCGTCTTTCACTCACTCTCTGTGTGTGTCCCCTTGCATGGACTCTCGCCCTCACCTCATCCCACGAAGCACACACATAATGTGCCCATTGTATATATTTCATGCACACCCATGCAGGCCCGTTGGTGCTCTCTTTTGCACGACACGCACCGCTGCCGTCCTGCCTGGCTGCATGGGCGGAGCACCGTAACTGTTTCTGTTTTGTTTTTATTGCATTGAGTGGGCGACCTTTCTCTCTCTCTCTCTCTCCCCCTGTGTGTGTGTTTTGCTTTACGGGAGCAATGAGAGTGTGTGCGCTGGTCGTCCCACGCTTCGGCTTTTTGTTTTGTTTTTCATTGTTTTGTGGTTGAGAGCACCCATTCCGCGGGCTGCGTGTGTGATGATATGAGTAATTTGTGCGTGTGTGCTATCTGCCTCTCTCTGCCGTTGCTTTCTTCTGACTCTCTTGTGGCGCACAGCTGCTCTGCAATTATAGGCGCTGCCAAACACACAAGCACATGCACACACATGCCGTGTTTAAAACGCTGAGAATGCACGCACGCACAGGATTGTGGCTGCGGAGGCCCTCGCGAGGGGCGAAGAAGCCTGCGTTTTGTTTTTTTGACATGTTGCTCGGTGTGTGCTGACGCGTGACGAATAACAACACGCCCCAATAAGCAGAAAAGAAGTAAAACAAAATGGCGCTGAGCGGCACAGCGGTAAGCCAAAAATACGCAATCACCAATAAAAAAGCCGGCGATCACCCAGCAGGCACATCAAGCCTCCTAAAACCAACCTGGGATAGACAAAAAAAAGGGGGCAATCATAGAAAACAAAGATCCGCCCCCCTCCCCAAACAGGAAAAGCATTAAAAAAAAACGCGATCCTGTTTTTTGTCCTTAATGCCGGGGTTGGCCGCCGCAAGGAATAAAAAAGAGTAGGGCGGTGGCCCCGGACGAGAGATACATGACGACGTGTCGAATTATCCAAGTTGCAGCGGCTGCCCCGGACGAGAGATACATGACGACGTGTCGAATTATCCAAGTTGCGGCGGTCCGCCCCGAACGAGAGATACATGACAACGAATCGATGTATCCACGCTGCGGCGACGGCCCCGTACGAGAGATATATGACGACGAATCGAAGTATTCACGCTGCGGCTGCGGCCCCGTACGAGAGATATATGACGACGAATCGAGGTATCCACGCTGCGGCGGCGCACCCTAAACATGTCGCTTTCGTTTTCCAGGGGACAACGCAAATGTGCTCGATTGTTCGAAGATCGAAATTAACACCTTACGTGAAAATGGGTCGCGCGACCACATTTTTTTTAGCTCAGTGGCAAACAAGCTCACAATGTCATCCGGGGCGCGGGTTCGAGCCCCGAAGAAGCCTAAGTTTTTTTCCTTTTTTTTTTTTTGGAATTCTTGTTTCTTATTGCTTTTTAAACTTCTGGTTTGCAGGACGGTGTGCGAGTTCTGCAATCGCACTGATTCCATCTGTTTCGTGGTGTGTGCGGCTGCGGCTGCGGTGGTGGCCGCGTGAGAGTGAGTGAGAGAGCGCCATGCACCGCCCGCACACACACACTCGTCTTTCACTCACTCTCTGTGTGTGTCCCCTTGCATGGACTCTCGCCCTCACCTCATCCCACGAAGCACACACATAATGTGCCCATTGTATATATTTCATGCACACCCATGCAGGCCCGTTGGTGCTCTCTTTTGCACGACACGCACCGCTGCCGTCCTGCCTGGCTGCATGGGCGGAGCACCGTAACTGTTTCTGTTTTGTTTTTATTGCATTGAGTGGGCGACCTTTCTCTCTCTCTCTCTCTCCCCCTGTGTGTGTGTTTTGCTTTACGGGAGCAATGAGAGTGTGTGCGCTGGTCGTCCCACGCTTCGGCTTTTTGTTTTGTTTTTCATTGTTTTGTGGTTGAGAGCACCCATTCCGCGGGCTGCGTGTGTGATGATATGAGTAATTTGTGCGTGTGTGCTATCTGCCTCTCTCTGCCGTTGCTTTCTTCTGACTCTCTTGTGGCGCACAGCTGCTCTGCAATTATAGGCGCTGCCAAACACACAAGCACATGCACACACATGCCGTGTTTAAAACGCTGAGAATGCACGCACGCACAGGATTGTGGCTGCGGAGGCCCTCGCGAGGGGCGAAGAAGCCTGCGTTTTGTTTTTTTGACATGTTGCTCGGTGTGTGCTGACGCGTGACGAATAACAACACGCCCCAATAAGCAGAAAAGAAGTAAAACAAAATGGCGCTGAGCGGCACAGCGGTAAGCCAAAAATACGCAATCACCAATAAAAAAGCCGGCGATCACCCAGCAGGCACATCAAGCCTCCTAAAACCAACCTGGGATAGACAAAAAAAAGGGGGCAATCATAGAAAACAAAGATCCGCCCCCCTCCCCAAACAGGAAAAGCATTAAAAAAAAACGCGATCCTGTTTTTTGTCCTTAATGCCGGGGTTGGCCGCCGCAAGGAATAAAAAAGAGTAGGGCGGTGGCCCCGGACGAGAGATACATGACGACGTGTCGAATTATCCAAGTTGCAGCGGCTGCCCCGGACGAGAGATACATGACGACGTGTCGAATTATCCAAGTTGCGGCGGTCCGCCCCGAACGAGAGATACATGACAACGAATCGATGTATCCACGCTGCGGCGACGGCCCCGTACGAGAGATATATGACGACGAATCGAAGTATTCACGCTGCGGCTGCGGCCCCGTACGAGAGATATATGACGACGAATCGAGGTATCCACGCTGCGGCGGCGCACCCTAAACATGTCGCTTTCGTTTTCCAGGGGACAACGCAAATGTGCTCGATTGTTCGAAGATCGAAATTAACACCTTACGTGAAAATGGGTCGCGCGACCACATTTTTTTTAGCTCAGTGGCAAACAAGCTCACAATGTCATCCGGGGCGCGGGTTCGAGCCCCGAAGAAGCCTAAGTTTTTTTCCTTTTTTTTTTTTTTGGAATTCTTGTTTCTTATTGCTTTTTAAACTTCTGGTTTGCAGGACGGTGTGCGAGTTCTGCAATCGCACTGATTCCATCTCTTTCGTGGTGTGTGCGGCTGCGGCTGCGGTGGTGGCCGCGTGAGAGTGAGTGAGAGAGCGCCATGCACCGCCCGCACACACACACTCGTCTTTCACTCACTCTCTGTGTGTGTCCCCTTGCATGGACTCTCGCCCTCACCTCATCCCACGAAGCACACACATAATGTGCCCATTGTATATATTGCATGCACACCCATGCAGGCCCGTTGGTGCTCTCTTTTGCACGACACGCACCGCTGCCGTCCTGCCTGGCTGCATGGGCGGAGCACCGTAACTGTTTCTGTTTTGTTTTTATTGCATTGAGTGGGCGACCTTTCTCTCTCTCTCTCTCTCTCCCTGTGTGTGTGTTTTGCTTTACGGGAGCAATGAGAGTGTGTGCGCTGGTCGTCCCACGCTTCGGCTTTTTGTTTTGTTTTTCATTGTTTTGTGGTTGAGAGCACCCATTCCGCGGGCTGCGTGTGTGTGTTTGTGTGTGATGATATGAGTAATTTGTGCGTGTGTGCTATCTGCCTCTCTCTGCCGTTGCTTTCTTCTGACTCTCTTGTGGCGCACAGCTGCTCTGCAATTATAGGCGCTGCCAAACACACAAGCACATGCACACACATGCCGTGCACACGTGGTCTGCCCCTGCACTGATAGAGAAGCTCTTAGCGCGCTTTGGAATGTCGCAGCGGGCACCATTGGACTCGGTGCGTTGGCGCCTGTGGCTGCCGTTGTCGACGCTCCGATCCGCTCTGTTGGAAGTGCCGGCGTGGTCGTTGGCCGGTGGAAGGAGAGCAACGGCGGATACGGTGACCTCTACGCAGTGAGCTCACAGTAACTTTCTTGGCCAGTGGCAGTGCGGATGGAGCTGTCATAATGATCGCACCGCCGGCACGCTTCTTGTCGAGTTCCCCGAAAGGAGAGCAGTGAAAGAAGGTCCGTCTGCATGACTCTTTGCTTCTCCGCTTTAGGGCTGCACATCACAATTGGAGTTGCCGTGCGGTTATGCAGCAGGGTATGATCTGCTGGGAGAGGGCGCTGTGCAATGCTCCTGCACCTGTGGCTGGTGCTGTGCCGTTGGCGGATGTTGAGTGGCCGATCATACAAATATTGCGACACCACGAGGAGAGCAGGCTAAACACCCACGTGGAGGGAGCGTTGCGGTCGATGATGAGGACTCTGTGCGACGGTGATGGACGTTCTTTCGACGACGGATTGACGGTTCGTCTATTTGATGGAGTCGGTGCGCATGCTGTGTGTATGGCCGCCTCTGTGGTCTCCTGTTACTCCGCTGCGTGGGCCGCATTCTGACGCATTACTGGTCCAAAGCCATTTTGTTTTTCTTACTCTTCTTTTTCCTTTGTTTCTTCTCCCGCCTCGCGCATCCAGGCTGCAGCGCTGCTGCTACTCACAAGAAACCAAGAAATGCATTTTACTCAAGTCATGCGCCAGCCACGACACGACACACCGCTTTTCCCACTGGTGGTGTTGCTGCTGATGTGTTGCGCCAGTGGTTGTATTGCTGCTGCACCCGCCACACAATAACGCTGTGGGTTTGACGTGCTGATGAGGAGGAGCGGCCCGCTGTCGACTGCGGTGGTGCGCAAGGTGCCGCGCAAGGGACAGGGCGCGATGCAGGCGTGCACCGTCGCCACACAGGATGACGACAGTGGCTGGGAGCCGATCCGCATTGCGGTGTCCATGGAATATCTGAAGAGTGGCACTAACAAGAGGAAGTACTGCGAAGAGGAAGAGGATGAGTGCTACAACGCCTTGGGGCAAAAGGTGTCATGCAAAGCAGAGCATGTCTTGACGGAGGCAAATAAACAATTGTACACTGGAAGGATTCTCTTCGGTGCCGTCAAACTGCACACTGAGCGACTAATTGTGAAATCTACTGGCGGGACGATAACTGTACCGAGGGCTACGAATGGACCGTGCAGCCACTTTAAGGTTCCTACCAGGCACAAGAGTGACGGTGTGCCGAATGCAGATTTTATCATCTGCGCTGCTGCTATCCCATCAGGCACGGATAGCAGGGTTGTGTGGGCGGCCACGTGTAACACATTGACGGATTTTTGACCTTTCATTGGCGCCATGAACTTTGATCCAAAGTACATGACTGACACGGCGTGGAGCGTTCGCGTTGCCGCACACGAAATTGCGCATGCACTTGGGTTCAGCCAGGAGAGCATGAGAGAAAAGATCCTGGTGAATAAGCCAGAGAGAAGTGTGCGTGGGAAGCACCGCAGGATGGTGGCAGGGAAGCACGTTCAGAAGACGAAAGCGCACTTTGGTTGTGACTCTCTCGAGGGCATGGAGCTGGAGGACGAAGATGGCACTCGGGAAAAAGAAGTCCCTCACTGGAAGGGACGCCACGCGCGGGACGAGCTGATGGCTCCCACAGTTGGTGCCGGCTACTACACGGCTCTGACGATGGCGGCTTCTGCGGATATGGGATAATACCGCGTGAATTGGAGCATGGCGGAGCCGATGAGCTGGGGCAGCCGCAGTGGCTGCGACTTCCTGGTCAACAAATGCAATACAATCGATAATCTTGCCGCCAAGTATCCTCACATGTTTTGCGATGCTACCGAAACAGAGACGCTTCGCTGTAACTTCGACCGCCGTCACGTTGGGACGTGCACCGCAAGCATCGTTGAGGACAAGGAGAGTCTGGTGGATAAGGACGTTTGCCCTGTTGTTTCTTTGGAATTTCACGAAATATTGTCTGGGACAACGTACAGGACGTGCTCGGACGAAAATTTGGATTATCTCCCTTGGTCGCTGACTGGCGGTGGTTCGTGGTGCCTGGACGCGGAATTACTGGAGACGAAGGACGGTAATGGCCATAAAAGCGTCAAGGGAGTGTGTGCGCAGGTGTCGTGTGAGGACACAGTGAAGCTGAGGCACCTCGGCAGCAGTGTTTTTCAGCCTTGCCCTGAGGGCACTGACATCCCAGTGACGTTGAAAGATTTTCAGAAGGATAGGAGGATCAAGTGCCACACATACGGCGAGGTGTGCACCATTGCCGCGAACGGCAGCAGTCTTGTCATTCCGAGTGCGTTGGTGAATGGACAGGGTGACGAGTAAGAGAAGGAAGCAGAAGAGTCGGCGGTTGCTTCAGGGTCGCCTTCTCCGGAGGATACTTGTCCACAGTTGTCTCCTGTAGCGTCGACTGCAGAAGAACCTCATGCAGAAGCGTCTCCTGCAGGTAAACCTTCTGAAGCTCCAGTGGTGCAAGCGGCACCGCAGCAGCCTCGACAAGAAAGTAAAACACAAAAAAATACAACGGTGGGGGAACCTGTCACTAAACAGCAAGTGCCAGCTAATCCATCGCAAGGAAGTGTGGAGATTGCGGCGGCTTCGAGCTCCCATGCCGTTGGAGAAGCAGCGGGTGACGCCGGCACCATGCGTGGGAGCGGACTGCTGCCATCGCTCCTTCTGGTGGGACTGTGGGGGTTTGTGGCTCTGTGAGGACTGAATGGCTGCCGCGTGGAACACTTGCGACCTCCCCAGCAGAGAATTATTCTACGGGAACAAATTTCTCTGACAACCTTTTCTTTTTTGGGGATATTTTAAATTTATTTTACTGTTTTCTGCTTTTTTTTCCTTTCTTTTTTCAATCTCTTTTCTTTGTGCGTGTGTGCAAGTGTTTTTTTATCATTCATCTTTTCTCTTCCCCTTTTTTTTTGCTTTTGGGCAATCACTATGGACGTTTTTTTCTTTTCTACTCTTCCCTCTTTTAATTGTTCCTTCTGCACTCTTCCTGTGAGGGGTGCCGTGTGTTTCCCGCCCAACTGCTCCACTCGCACACCCACCGACACGCTCATGACGACGGCCCTGTGCGCCTCGCCTGCTGCACGCATGAGGAGGGGCCGCAACGAACGGCGCGCTGAGGAGGAGCCGTGACGTGTGGGCGTGCGACGAGGGCCTGTGGGGCGGAGCACACATTTCTTTCCTCTTTTCCTGTTGTTTTGTTTTATTGCGGCCAGGGCGGGCAGACACCCGCAGCGCTACACCCACAGCCACACCCTGCCGCCGTGTTTTTCTTTTTTTGTGCATTTCACGCGCTGGCAGTCCCGTCAGCATTTCTTTTCCCCTTGATGATTTTTTTTTTTTGCTGCGCTCACTCTCCCGATGGAGGGACGCGACTCCCGTCATGTCTGCGTGCTTCTCTCAGTTCCCACACACACGGGTGAATGTGCTTTGCAGGCCGCACTCACGCGCCGATGAAAGGACTGAGGGGAGCAGCAACACGCAGATGACCCCATGAAATATAAACGATGTGCGGACACACAGAGGGTCAGACGGTTGAAAGACACTTAAATAACTTTTTAATTTTATTTTCGGACAAAATATGCAGACAATTTCTGGAGCAACATGGTGGTTGGGTGCTTTTTTTGTGTGTTTTTTTTCTTTTTTTTCTTTTTTGGGTGTAGCCGTAATAGAGGACGACTTTTTTTCATTTTCTTTTTTTTTTCATTTTCTTTATTCTTTTCAAGGTGTGAGGTGTGGAAAGGTGAAGATGAATTTTTTTAAAATTTTAATAAATTTTTATGAATTGCCGCTGCTTTGTCTGCAGTGCAATATCATGAGCTTGAGCAGTCTTTTTCTCTTTATTTCTGCCATGCACTTCTGCTGTGCATTTTTGTTTGTGCGTCCCTTCAAATGCTCTGCTCCTGTTTTTACTTCTTTGCTTCGTGTGTGTCTGCAGGCACACACAACCACATGCACGCACAGAATGCACATTGCAGTGGATTTGGATGCTTCTTTTGTAGCGTGTGCTGGCGGTTGCGGGTGGCTGCTGCTTCCTCCGTGGGCATCAAGGGAAGGAGGAGAGAGGGAGCGCGCACCGCGAGTCACTCTTCCAGCGGGTGTGATGCGCGCGGTGGGCTGCGACTGCTGCGGAGGGCCGCATCCTTTCGGTGTGCGCTTCTCCGCCGTCGTGCCGTGCGTTTGCGCATGTCATTTTTGTGCGCGTGCGTGCTGGGCATGTTTTTCCGGAGCGTTGAGCAGCCACCACCATTCTTTGGCGGCTTGTGTGAGTGAGCACGTGCGGATGAGGGTCAGGGCGTATGGAATGAAGGAATGGCTTGAGGAAAGGGGAATTTGATTTGGAGGGTATTTGGACCAGATTCATTTGGCCGCGGTGGACACATGCACGACGGATGTGTTTTCGCATAATGGGGGAGGATGCGACAGGATTTTCCGAAGTGGCTTGTCAATGCAATTCGGGTTTCATAGCACTGGGGCACAGTGGTCTTCCTGCAATGGCTGGTGACGGCCTCTAGTGGACCGGTGTATTTATGCGGTTGCTGCTGCTCGAGGAGGCGTAGAAGTGCAATTTGAGGTGAACGACGGAAGGGCCACACACCCCGCAGTGACTGTCGTCGTTGGCCCAGCGGGTGCCTCTGAAGGTTTTGCTCGCACCTTCTGCGGTCCCTCTTCCTCTCCTCACTTCTGTGCCGAGGACTGTGCCGCGGGATCCAGCAGCGCGATGTTTGGCCGCAGGAACGTGGCCCGAACAAATGATTTGTGGGAGGGGGATGTGCACTGCGACGAGAATGAAAAAAAGGTTGCGAGACGACCACCACCGCAAGACCGGAGTGAAGTTGTGTTTTGTCCACTTGCGCGAGGGCGGCCTGCCACCTGGTCCGTTAGGAGGATTATTTTTTTTGCGTCGTTGCGCTTTCTTTTTATTCCTCTGCGTTTTCTTGCGGACCTGCGAAGGGAGATTTGCAAGAAATTCCTGCGAGGCGTTTGTGCCGTCGTCGGAAAAGCGGATTCCCCCTTGAAAAACGCTACTTTTTAAATTTGTTTTGGGCGGGGAGTTCCTGTCGATTCAACGCGACTTTGTTTTGCGGATTTGATGCGTGTGTTTCCGAGCGGTTTGATCTGTGCTCCCAGCCCACTCGGATGTGGTGTGCGCGTCGACGTGAAGGTGCCTGCCAGCCGTTTTATTGCCTCCCCCGCTGTGGCTGCTGCCGCTGCCTTCCTCTCTTCCTGAGGTCCTGCGGCTTCTTGACAAGATGTCTTGGAGAAGGCGTTGCCGCTCTTATCGTCCATGGTATTTTGATTCTGGTGTCGCGGTCAGGGGACATTGAACGAGAGGGTTTGCTGGCCTTTTGTTTTATTTATCCTCTCTGCCTGACGGCCAGTCCTACACAAGCGTGCTCCTCGGCACCTCAGTTGGTGCTGGCGGATTTGCTCACAGTTGTCACTGGCAATTGCATGCGCCAACTCTTCTCTGCTCCTTTTCAGTGTCGCATTTTTTTATTGATTGACGGACGCCATTCTGTCCGGCGTGC